AGAGAGCTTGAACTTGCTAATCCCTCTGGCAATGCCAGAAAACTGTTCCACCTCATCCGAGTCACCGAACGCTTCCGATCTGGAGTAAGCGAAACAATCTGAGAAGACGATGGCTCACTACTCACTAATGCGCAACGACGGTTGGAGCGATGGGCCGAACATTTTCGCTCGCAGTTTTCCTGCCCGCCAGCTCCATCTGTTTCCCCTGGGGCGCGCACTAGTGATGAGTGGACTACCCCAACTGAACCTCCCTCTAACCAGGAAAACTGGCGGGAACTCTGCTGCCTAAAGCGTTATAATGTATCCGGCCCTGATGGTCTACCTCCTGCTCTATTTAAAGATGGAGGCACTTCGCTGGCTCGAGAACTCACTGCTTTGTTCCCAGAAGTCTGGGCAAAAGAGCTTACATTATTCTGGAATGAATTGATAGTCGCCCCCATCTTCAAAAAGGGTATGCGCACAAATTGCTCCAATTATAGGAGCATAAGTATGGTTCCCGTCGTTTGCAAAATTCTGGTGCCAATCATTCTTCACAGACTAGCCCCAACGCGTGAAGCACTACAGCGAGAAGATCAGACTGGGTTCTGCCCTGGTCGCGGCTGCATCGATTAGATTTTCCCACTCCGCCAGATTCGCGAGCTCCACCATGTGTTTCAAAAGCCAACGTTTGTTGTGTTCCTGGATAACCGTGATGTCTTCGATTCTGTCGACAAGGCTGCATTGTGGCACTGTCTGTTGAGGAATGGAATTCCCGGGAAGCCTTTCCATTATGCGTGCCCTGTACAGTCTGACAACGGGTAGAAGTAGGGCTTATGGCAAGCTTTTGTCTTCTTTTGTTGTCACCAGTGGGGCTCGACAAGGATGCCCTATCTCTCCATTTCTCTACAACATTCCCATTGAGGATGTCCTCAGAAATACTATAGAAGTAGTTGAACGATGGCGTTGAGCTCCTCCCAGGTAGTCGGGTGGTTGATTTGGATTACGCTGATGATATCGCCTTGTTAGGTGACGGTCCGCAGGCCGTCCAACTTGCACTTAACCGCCTGGCGATTGAAGCGTCGAAGTATGGCACGCAGTTTTCACCATCCCAGTGCAAAGCCTCTTTCCAAGACTGGTATACGCCCCCACCTGCACCCACCATCGATGGGGAAACGTTAGAAGTAGTACAGAGTTTTGTCTACATGGGAAGCTGCACAACTGCTGGTGGGGCTGTTGAAAACGTGATTTCGATGCGTATCTCAAGAGTCCGTCTCGCCTTCTCCTGACTGAGGCATTTATGCCATCGCCATGACAACCGTCTCTCCATCAAAGGACGGGTTTACAGTACCACTGTCCGCGCTGTACTATTGTACGGTTGCTAGACTTGGTCTGCTCGTGCCGATGACCTACGTCAACTGTCGGTTTTCGAGAACCGTGGCTTGCAGTCCATCACCCGTGTGTGGTGGCTGAACCACGTAACCAACGCTGAAATCCCGCAGCGCCTTTTGGATGGAGACAGCCACTCCCTCGAGGCACTTGTCTCGCTGTTCCAACTACGATGGCTCGGACACGTACTGCGTATGCACGTTCAGCATCTTCCGCGTCGTGCCTTGTTCGAAGTAGTTGGTCAGGAATAGAGAAAGCGGCATGGTGAACAGCCTACAACTTGGAGAAGCAGGATGAAAAAGCTGAAAAAACAGCTGGCCACGGTTGGTTCCTCCCGACTCCCTGGATGGGGTCCAAGGATGCTGAGTGCAGTTGGTTGGAAACCTTGGAAGTCATGGCTCGAAATCGAACTCAGTGACGGGCATGTGTCTCTGCTTGTTGCGGTGGTTCCGCTTCCTCCCCCCCCCCCAAAAAAGCATCAAAAATCCCAAAAACTGAGTAGAAAAGGGACAAAGAATTGTTAGTTTTTTTATTGTTTTACTCTAACTCTGTTTTCTTATTCCGCCATTGTCCCGATGGCGCAACAACGGCTGGTGTCATTCTTCGCGATTCTCCTGCAACTGATGAGCCGCGATCACCATATCTATAGTGCTGCGACCCAAACGGAATCCGCACTGCTCTTCCGCCACGTTAAGTTAGCGAACATGCTCGTTTTCGGTGGCTCTCGTCAGGCTAAAACACCACAACTGATAGGAATAAGATTAACATAAAATAGCAGAAAATGGTAGAGTTCAAGCTTCAAGGTCATTGGAAAATAGATCAGAAGTGATCGATGCACTATCGGTGGCATGTCCCTCAACGAGTCGTTGTGATAGAGGGCCAGTGCAAACACAGAATCTGAATGAATCGTTTTTGAGCACATAAGTCTGGGTTCTGGTGGCGGATAGCAATTACTTCAGCTGCTGAGGCAATTGCTGGCACTGACAGATGTGCGCTTACACATGGTATAACTGCCCTCATGAGTGCGATATTTATGGGGATTTTCCTAAGCTCGAAAGATTGTTCACCTCAAACGGCGTTAAATCTTGGCTATTGTTGCCTCCAGAGCATATACTGTATCAACTGGCACCAGCGTGCCCGCAACGATGGGGTGTGCAGAAAAGTAGCATACTGTAGCGAAAGGTTCAGTTCCGCAAACCAATAAATAAGGCGATATAAATTGCGCTGGACTAGACACGTGATACATAGGCCCACACCACGTTTGTCAGGGAGGATTGTTTTGATCACTCGGTCTAGAATACCGTAAGGTTCGAAACAATCATCAATCTGGCAGCGGAAAATGGACCCACTGCTCAGTAGATGGATACCGTTGGTTCGTTGCATTTTCTGTGTTGCAGTACAAGAGACACATTGCGATTGGATTGATATCTTATAGAACAAATAGTAGTCGACACCAGTGGATTCTAACGGCGGTGTAATGACAAGTCATTCTAGGTTGCCGTGGATGATATCAGAACCTACTGTTGTCGTGCTTTCATTTAAACGGTAGCATTATGAGCACCTTTTTCCTAGGGACGTCGGTCAAACGTTCGTTTCCATTTTTTGCGTCTATGAATTCATAGGGTATCCATTTCTACCTAATGTCGAGGATACGCGTTGTAGTTCATATTCGATCCTGATCTCCGAGTAAATCTGGTTGACTCGCAGAAGTGGTGCGAAACGGGGCTCGGCCTATATCCAACATTGGAGCGATGCTTAGCCGGATTTACCAGATCAATTCGGAGGAACTAGTTGGGTGCAGCCTCAAATACACGTACGAATTTGCCGAAATTTTAAACCAAAAGTGAAACTCTTAGTCTTCTTTTTCATGTGAGTTAGTTATGCATCGACGTTCCCATTGGAGATTTTCGACACGATAGACGCGCATTCTAACAACGTTGAGAAGGATTTTATTTCTAACCTAACCACGTGTGGAGTTTCTCGACTCCCGGGTTTGGGTTGGGTACACTAGTTGACATGGCGAAGAAACGGCCGCAATGAAGTTTGTGTTGCGAGTTCCTTTGTCCTTCCTCCTCCAAGCACAATCTCACTAGTGATGCAAAATAAAAAGAATAATGCATAATGTTGTCACTATTATTAGTTGGTATTATTTACCGTTATGTATTGCACTGACGCACAGTGGCTGAGGCATTTTTCACCTCTGGCTAACGCGTCGAGTGATGACGAGATGGCCGACGGACTGATGGCGCATTATCCATGGGCTGCTTTGGCTGGACCATCTGCAGTGCTACAATGCGTCCGCATATACAAAATGTGCATTCTTATGGTTGTTGCGTAGGCGAAACCTTAGTCTTCGTTAACACTGCTGAACAAGCAGAACATCTACTATGCACTTTAAGCAACTGCCACTTCGTGATCGAATTCCCGGTGGAAAAATAATCCTGTGGTAACCTCCAATTTTGTATAGTAACCTGAAAGAACCCAAATGGTACACACACTCTATCCGTGTACCGACACCGTACTAAGAGACGAAAGTGGTTTAAATTCACTAGTTTCCACTTCATGAATTGCAAACGAGCCCCGGTTCGTATCACTTCTGAATGCCAGGCAGATTTGTTCGCATTAACCGATCGGATATGAGCTAAGACGCGTATGATAGACATTACGTGAGCATGAAACCTGGAGAAATTCATACTATGTGTCAGCTTATACGCCGTAACGGCGCTTCGCTGCCGCGCGACCACCACCAGTCGCGCGCGGGCTGAGTATACCGCGAGGACGCCCACCCCTACGCGGAAATTCATACTACAGCAGGCGAATATAAAAAGCAGTGAATTTTCGCTGACACCCCCCCCAAAAAAGCGTTTATAACGCCGACAAATAAATAAAACTAAAAGGAAAAAAGATTCCGACATCAGCTTTGTTAATCCACAAAGTAGTATGATTATAGTGCGGATCAGTTAAATCAAGGCAGAAATTCATGATTATCTCACATCGAGCACGATTCCGCGCAGTGCTATCAAGGGTATCCAGTTAGCAACGTCATTTTTCTTCGGCCAGCGCCAGCGCCAGTGACCTATGACTACCGTCGATCCACTTTGGTTGTGTCTGTGCACAACTCAATCATACTACGAATAGTATGTGAAGGGCTGACGACAGCACAGGAGCTACTTGAATTTGGTCTATTCCTGATATCTCCGCCTAATGAGTAAAGTGCGAACCCAATCGAGGAGTGCAATGTGACGATCGGACATCACCGAACATTTGTCCTATCGGAACGCCGTTCTGTCTGCCTTTTCTGGAGACGCAAGAACAGCAGATGGCGCATCGATCAACATGAAGAGTGAATGAAGCCACCAGTAGCTAAATTATTGGTTTGCAGCTTAGCCGTTTGAGAACAATCTCTTCAACTAGACACATAAGTACAGAAGTTTTAATCTAGTCCAACAGGGTACATATATACTTTGTTTACGAAGATCAATGGCCCACAACATCAGGTGGATTCAGAACTCTCACGGTATACGCAAACAGGTCAAGTGAACCGAGCAGCTCGATCCAGTTGCATACTATAAGTAATCAGCATGTTTGTAAATAAGAGGCAATCACTACCTACATGCGGACAGAAATGGACCCACTTGAATGGTAGACCTTCATCCTTACATTGTTCTTCGGATCGACCAACCCAAGCGTACTCTGGATGAGTATAAATGACACCAGGGACGCAGTTGTAGTCCAAGTGCACCGCGCCACCCATCATGCCTTCGACACATGCGATGCCCTCGTCTTCAGCCTTATGGGCAAGCATGGGGCCGGGAATGCAGTCACCAATGGCATAAATGCTGGAGGAGAAAAAATATACCGCAGAATAAAGTGGTAAGATAGAGCAGGATAGAACAAAGAGTTCTTCATATTACGATGGGAATGTAAAAGAACCGGGCTAAGTAGCGTTAGCGTTCAACAAGTGCAACTGTTAACCCCTTAAGATTAAAAGACTGAAAACAAGCAAAACGTGGCACCTCCAGAAAAGACCCAACAAAGTGTGGCGATAAGCTAAGCAGAAAGTTCAGCGGATGTTGGTCCAACAAGCACCCAAGCTAACAGCTCGAAAAAAGATCAGGTGTTCTAATGGACCATTAATGTAGGAGGAAGGTATCAATTCGAAGCTGTAGCTGGGAGCATTCGAATTTTCTTTTCCTCCAAGTTGCTTCATGCAAAAAATCCAGAAATGAGAATGTCTGGTAGTGCTTCCATCAGTTTACATTCAGGGATAATGGAATGGTGGCCCAGGCTAACCAAGCAGGAGCTCAACACTGCTCTGAAATCGTCTGAATACTCATGATGAGAAACAAATTTGAAATTCCACAATCAGTGAATCTGCAGACAGGGTTGAACGGTTTCGCACATCAGTAAGCAATGACCTATACGATGTTGCGGGGATTTAGAGACTCACACAAGTGGGTGAGCTCGTCAAATAGGGGAATCAGAATCTACGAATCTAGGAAAATGTAACAAAAGGGAAGACCAACGGTAACAAAACCGAGAAGGGGAAGTGATGCCCCTCGTGAAACTTACGAGAGCATCGCGAATTGCAACAAGCAATACTGTACATAGGTCAACGCAGGCAACGTAAAAGCGGGATAATGGTGTGCACTGCGCGAAATTTGCTTCATCTTTAGACGGCATGGCGTGCTGTTTCCCAGGTTAGAAGAGACATACAAAGTGCCGTAGGTGCAAGCACTGCAATCCGATGACGAAGAAAAAGAATCAGAGGATTCCTGATGGGTTAGGAAGCGCATTTCAGTTACACACAATCAATCGGCCACTGGCCGAATGGCTTTCAATCCTGAGGTCACCGGTTCGAATCCACGTAGGGGTTATCGACCTCGCGTTATACTCAGCCCACGCGCGACAGTGTGGTTGCGCGGCAACGAAGCGTCGTTACGGTGTACAGCTGGAGATTTGATTAATTGTATACACAAGCAAAAGGCATGAACAATATAAATACGCGAGAAACTGTTGAACCCTTATGTTTGTTGTATATGAATCCCCCCTCCCCAGATATTGTTGTGAGAGACAGGAAGCATAAGGCAGTTTGAAAGAGCGCGGGAAATTTGCACAAAAGAAGACAGAAATTAGGTGTTGCGGAAGAAGACAGAAAAGGTCAAAAGTTGTGGCTAACCTCGGAACAGAAGTTCGGAAGTGTTTATCAACCGGGATTCGGCCTTTTTCGTCGAGTTTAATACCAACGTTGTCCAAGTTTAGACCGGAGGTGTAGGGTCGCCTTCCAATACACACCAATACGGTGTCACATTCCAACTGTATGGGTAGTGAACGAAAGTTATACATTGCTAAAGGATTTCGTGTGATTTAATCGAAAGGGTAAGCGGAAGAAAACAGAAGAAAGACAATCTTATCTGGATCATGAATGTAGTTCAGATCCATCGTTCGAGTACATATCACACATATCAAACACAGCTCGGCAAATGAGATAAATCAACAGGAGTTGGACACTTGTCGACATCCTCGTCTCGGAATCAAGAAAAAAGGTTTTTCCGAACAGTAGAATGTGCGTAATGGAGAGGATCAGATTAATCCCCTAACCATATGACGAGACCATCGGCGAAGATGTTTATAACGAAGGTAACGTAGGAAAAACATTTACTAGAGCTGCTGCATGCTACGGATGAGAATGGAACTTCGATTTGAAGTCGCTTGCGTTCGGGGGTACTTATCATGATGATTGAATGCATAATCTTACCGGTCTGCGTAGCGTTATATAGATAGATGCGACTCTGCCACAATAAACATTATGAATGATAAGATCGGACTGAAAATGTGCAGATTCGAAGTCATCGGACCAATGGCTGTATCACTGGTGTGTTCATCGATATGCATTACATGTGTCGGCCAGCTTCACTGGCAACAACGATATGGAACAACAGCTGACTGCAAGTAGCTGCAAATCGATCGGTGCCGTATAGGAGAAAGCAAAGGTCAAATAGATTAAAAGGTCAGCGATATTATGAACAGCTAGATCTTGATTCAATCCGTACGGATAACCCAACTAATGTCTGCAACAACCGTAAGCATACAAATTAGCTTGAACGCTAAAAGGAGCATTGCAACGGAAGATTCAGCCGTCAAGAGGTGTGGTCTTTTCTCTCCGATTTAAGTGTACAGTATCAGAATGGTGACGTTACAAAGTCTTACATAGAGGAGACCCGACGTGTTGTCAGAGTGGGACAAGGCATCTAAACGCGACGAGCTCAGCATATTGTCGCTCAAAAATGGTGGCAACCAAGGTGACGTTAGTCCACCCACTTGATTCAACTATGCATGAGAAACTAGAGGTGACTTCAAAATGGATCGTACTCTTCTTCAGAAAAGACCATAGAACTTTATGTTTACAGGCACAATGATGTCAGATTGGCGAAAAGGGGAGCAACGAAAACCAAACTGGTTTCTGTCTCGACAGAGACACAATGACTACAAATTTAAACCAAGCTGGGTTTCGACAGCAACAGATGAATCCTTCGGTTGTGAAACCTGGCCCAGCAGATCGACAGACATAAAGAGGCTAGTGAAGTACGACTACCGATATGGGTACAGTTTAATTCATGTTTGATGAGAACAATGTGTGAGAAATGAACCTATTCGATGTCTTGCTTCTGACGCAGAAAGGTAAATGAAGTGCTCCGCATCAACATTTCACGCGTTAGGTTCCGATGGTTGGACATGTGCTACGAATGAAAGCACATCGATTCTCACGGCACGCGTTGTCTGTGTAACTGCGACCAGGATGGAAGCAGAGGGGAGGCCAGCCGATGAGTTGGTTAAATGGAATTACGGATCCCACTTCGAACTTGGCCTCGGTTCTAATCAAGTAAAGATAAGCTTTAGGCAATTTAAAAAGTACGTTTTCGGCATCTGAACTAAGATGACGATCAAAAATGCAAAATTCAACAGACGGAAAAACGAAAAGGAAAATGGTGCACGACTGTCACTCAAGTAGACGTCCGCTGCTAAACGGAACCCTAAGGGTTTATAGCCAGTCTACAGTGCGGAACTTTACTAAAAACATTTCTTCATAAGTGGAGAAAATTGTCTAGTTTCCGTAGTCCGAAGCAATAATAGGCGATCCATTCGCAGTATCTCCAGGTTTGAATTCGGAATATGCATCGAGGTAGGTCACAGTGACTTTGGATATAGTTTGACTAAAGCAGCTGACAAAACACTGTTTCAAAGCTCGTATGTCCGCAGTAAAAAGCGTAACAATGATGTTCAACAAAAAGGCAAAGGCGGACTTAAAGGCCCCGCTTCCAAGTTCAGTTGAGACAAACAGCCACGATCAGGGCACTGAAGTGCGTTGGATGCAGATGCCATGACTCAGGTCGCAGAAAAACAATAACCAACAACGGAAAGAAAATGACTTTGAATGCAAAGAGAATACAGAGGAAGTGGAAACAAGTGCGCAGAACTATTTGAAATTCAAGGAAAATTGATAGCAAAATGAAAGAAGCAGAATGCAGAAACGCCACTGGTTGCGCGACTGCGCCATGTTTGATAGGGTCTCCAATCACGGGAGTGGACAATGTCGAGGCCCGATTCACGAAGATGGCACGCACTAGCCCGACTGAGTCTCTCAGTCAATTTCTTCATATTATACCAGGTCACCGATTGTCTAACTCGCGGCACTGCTCAACTCGGTGCAGCGACGGCATATAATGAACGCCGAGGAAGCCGGTCAACGGGCATACGAAGGACATGGCCTTGCCAACGCAAGCGATGAAGATTTATCAAACACTCGAGAGAGGCACCAGAAGGCTTCTTGTCAAAAACCAACTGGCGGAACTCAGCACCGATCACTCGGTGTTCCACCAGGTGTGAGCAATAATTCGCAAGCGTCGGTGGTCAAGCGTGACGAACCGTTTAGTGACTTCACAACGAACGGGTTAGGTCTTTGATCCATATAGTAACACCGGCCTCACCTTTCAATGACATGCTGATATCCCGCCGACTGCATAGATGGTTGAGCTTCTGGAAATCCACAGGGCCTTACTCATAGGTAAAGCAACCAACTCAGTGATGTGACCACCAAAAGCGACACAGCTACCAAGGTAAGTGAATCGATGCAACACTTCCAGTGGCTGTTCGGTGAAAGACAGAACCGGTCAGTCGATCCAGTCCTGCAGCAGTACTTTGTACTTTGAGTGTGCAAAGTAGATGCTGAAGCGTGCAGCGCTACGCGTCAGCCTATCCAGTAGCATTTGCACAGCCACTGCGTCAGACCCAAGGAGAGCTATGTCGTCCTCATACTCCAGGTTGGTCAATCGGTCACATGGTAGAACTTCCACTCCGGTAGAGTCTGAAAGTAGAGAGTCACTCATGATCATTTCGATAACAAAGTTGAAAAGATAGATAGAATAACCCAGGCGAACCCCTTGACAAGGAAAACTCGGGAAACAGTTTCCCGAACACCCATTACATGGTCTCGGGAATCAAGGGAGAGGCTTCAAAATGGAAAGGAGTTTAGCTGGCACGCCCTTCATGGAGAGGCAGCGCCACAAGCTGTCTCGACAAAAAGAGTGGAAGGCGGATTTCAGGTCAAGGAAAACCACTATAATCGGTCGTCTGTATGTGTGTACCTGCTCAGAAACTTGGCGAAGAGTAAATATGTGGTCGATACAGGCACGACTAGGCGGAAGCTAGCCTGGCTTCCAGTGACATGGTCCAAGAATGAAACCCGTGAGAAGTTTTGAGGCAACGGAAACAAGACTAGTGCATCGACGATTTTCGCACAAAGTACACTGATCCTTCTTGACAGTCGCCAGTCTGAAAGCACCTCTTCAGTGTTCCACATCGTGTTAAATAGAGAAGCGAGTGCAGTCGGCAAAGAGTCACCACTATCTTACAGCAAAAATGGAAGGTCGTCAGGTTCAGGAGGCTTGTTTCGTTTCAACACCGAACGCTCACGCTGAATCTCCTCCGAAGTGGGAGGTGTGACATTTACTTCCCATGTCGACTCAAGCGATTCTCTAAGCAGCAGTGTCGCAGGAGGCCCGCTGAAATGATCTTCAAAATGTTCCGCACAACGAGCTAGTGGGCGATGTTGAGAATGGACCAACAGTCCATTTTTCTCAGCCATTGTCTCGCTAACTCTTGACTTTCTCGGACCATTGTTCCGGATGAACTGGAATAGCACTCGGCTGTTCCCAATAGAACTGGCTTTCCCTATCTCATGGGCCTTCGCCACCCAACAAACGTCCCCGGTCGATTCGAAGACTCCTTGTCAGACGCCGTTTCAGGGAGTTAAAGACACGCTGAAACTCAGTGCTCATCGGAACCTGTTTTCGTGTTTCCATCAAACTGATAGATGCCTCAGAGTTTCTTACATAGTTATGAAGTCTCAAGTTGGGTGCACAGCATGCATCAAAGGCATTCTTCATGACACATTTGTGCCGATCCCAGTCAGCGTTCGGTTCACGAACCGCATGCAGCACTGATATTTGGTGGGACAGTTCAACATGACATTGTTGAACTGCAGACTGCGAGTTCAATTTACAAGTAAGAAGGTTAGAAGATAGGCGCCTCTTTGGAGTAGAAAGAGTGAGCGCCAATCGTGCGCGCACTAGAGCATGGACGGAATCCCGGCACGTGTTCAATTGACCGACGGTCTTGGACTGATGTGCGTCATCTATAGCTGATGGCAATATGCGCTTAGATCATTGAGAAATTCAGTGGATGCTAGCTGACACGATGTAAGGGTTTGTGTTGGAAAGAATTGGAAAGATTGAGGTCGGCGCACAGTTGTGAAAACCGATCGTCATTGTTTGTAGGCTGTGCACCAACCCCGAAACTACCTCCCAAATGTTATTCAGAATCCAAAACGCGACTCACTTAGGCATTCTTATCAAAAATCACGATGTTAGTATTTTTCGCTATGCAGGAAAATGAGAGCGGATGACAGAAAACGTTATTGGTACCCTCCATGTTTGCTGAAAACAGGACCAACGTCGTAAACACCTTGAGCCATGGACTCGGTATCGCTGGAAATGCGAAGCGTATAGTCATTGGCGAATATTAGTCACAACGCTGGTACCCTGTATGTGCGTTCCCGATACGCAGCACGCATAAACTCCAAGAGAGTAATGGGTGAGTTAGTGATGCCTGTAGGCTGATCTGAAAACGTTGAACGAACCGATATAAAATACGACCTTTGGTTCGAGAGACAAGCTAGGTGTATCGATGAGAGAAGTTGGGAAGTCAGCGGCAGTCTTTTGTTCAATAGACGGGGAACAAGTGGCGAGATAAGAAAC